CCAGACCCCTCCTACTCTGGTTATACTCTCTTTCGCCCGCTTCCATTGCGTAGAAGATACAAAAGCTGTATACACGTATGAATAGATTCAAGAACAGCTTCTTCCCTGCTGTTGTTAGACTTCTGAGTGGACCTCTCAAATGTTAAATTTAATGTTGATCTCACTGTCTGCAGCTGTAACATTGTATTCCTTGCTCTGTTCTCTTACCATCTTGTACTTTGGATGGTATGATCTGCCTGTACTGCACACAAAACAAAACTTTTCACTGCCCCTAGGTACGTGTGACGATAATAAATCAAATCAAAACCAAAACAGCCAATCAACATTTACCCCATCAGTTTCCCTTTGGATCTCGAATGTTTTAATCAGGTCGTTTCTTGTGAAATTAAAAAAAAGTGACATCAGCAGTTGCTCATGCACTCCTGAGAATTTTACTGCGTTTTATTATATAAAATTTAATAACATGTTTCCGAACGACACTCCATGGAGCACGAGAGAAGTCAGATCCGAGGATAAGCTGAGTGTTAAGAACAGATAAAACAGCTCAAGGAAGGGGAGGGGGAAAAACCAAACAATCCAGCAACTCCTTCCTCCCAGCATCGAAAAGCAGCAAGTCTGCTCTCACACACGCAAAAAAGACCCAATTCTCCAGAGTGAATCGAGAGCTGGGGTTTTAAACAGTGTACACTACAATGAACAGAGCAGGGGAGTGGGGGTGGGGGGGGGGGGGTGCGCGGGCAGGCAGCTGTCTGCTAGGGAGAGGCAGAAAACCAGATAGATAGAGGGCACGCCATTCCAGCCGGACAGATCTCTTGTTCCTCCACCCGCTGAAACACAAGCAGAGCTGAACTCTGTTCGCTCCTTGCGAGAGGTGGGGCTGGTGGTTGGAAGGGAGAAGGGTGGGGTGGGGGTGAAAACAGGGTCACCCTGGCACTCGGAAGGGATGGGGATGAGGGGGATTTTTAAAAAGCATTCATGCCAGGAGAGAGGTCAGTGTCTTGACGGGTCTGCAACACAGCAGTCCCACAGGTCAGTCATTCCTTTAAAGGGAGTCTGTCCACAGCATACCCACACCCCCCTCCTCGCCACTGTATCTCACTCACTGAGGTGGGGCCTGATCCATGTCAGTAGGAAGAAAGAAAGTGAGAGCGAGAGAGAGAACGACAGAACGCGAGAGAGAGAACGACAGAACGCG